CATGTGTGTGTCCTGGGGGTGCTCACGTGTGTGTCCCGGGGGTGCTCACACGTGTGTCCCCTGGGTGCCCGGTGGCTGCGGTTCCAGGTGTGGAACACACCTGTGCGAGGGCACGGCCCCACAGGCACACGCGTGTTCCTGTGCCCACGTGTCTGTTCCCTCCCGTGTCTCCGGGTGCCCGTGTGTCTCTGCGTGTCCACAGCTCTACCATCCACGTCCACGTTCCTCCAAGCCCACAACCTCCCCGGTGCCCACACGTGTCCCGTGTCCGTGGGTGTATCTGTGCCCGCACAGGTGCTCCTTGCCCACACAATCTCCACCCGTGTCCCCTACCTTGCATCTTGGCAGCAGCGATGACGTCCCCTGCAGACATGCTGGAGACGTTCACCAGGTACACAGGGCAGTGGGTCTGTGGAGAGCGGGTCAGTGGCACTGTCCCTGTGGCACCGTCCCTGTGGCACCGTCCCTGTGGCACCCTGGCTCCATGGGGACCCCCCCACGGAACCGAGATGCCCACTCTCAGCCCACCCCACGCTCAGGACCACTCACCCTGTTGGCGATGGTGATGACACGGTGCGTGGCCTCGGCTTCCAGCTGCGGAGAGAGCCAGCAGTGACACGTGTGGAATGGCACAGTGGCACCCAAGGGTGGGTGGGGGACACAGTGATGGGTGGGATGTCCCAGAGTGTCCCAGCCATGACCCGAGCCACCGCCGTGGTGACACGAGACATCACCTACCTCTTCGGGCCGGCTGATCTCAATGCCCTCCGGTCCCGTGATGCCCAGATCCAGCGCTTCCTTGGCTCCCTGAGGAATTTGGGGGGTCAGGGTGGGGGTTCTGCTGCCCCAGGCTGGGGGCCTGTCGCACCCCCCGTCCCCCCGCGCTCACCTCAGCCACCAGCTCTCCGTTCTCGGCGTGGACGCGGGCGATGGCGCCGAAGTCGCGGCAGGCGCGCAGGACCTGGTAGAGCTCGCTGTCCCGCAGCATGTACAGGTCCTTGTAGGTCATGAACATCTGGAAGGAGTTCACCCCCTTCTCCCGCACCAGCGTCTCCATCTCTGCCTTCACCTGTGCCGGGATGGGGAGTTCAGTGCGGACCCGCTCCCCACGCGCCACGAGGGGCCCCATTGCAGGGCAGGGACAGGCACACCCCCCTGGGGACACGGGATGGGGGATTTGTGGGTGATTTGGGGAGCGACAGCTGCTGAGGGGCGTGGAGGGGATTTTCTCACACCCCGGGGGGCACTCGCTCCATCCCTCCACTCCCTGCTCTGTCTGGGGGGGTCAGGGCCGGGGTCTCCCCACGGCACAGCCAGGAGCCAGGTCTGATCCCCCTCTGGCAGCTTTGGGGGGATTGCAGGGGCTGAGCGTGCTGTGGGATGTGGTCCAGGCACCAAGCCTCCATCGCCATCCCCATGGGGGTCATGCTGCAGGTTGGGGTCCCCCCAGACCAGGACCACCATCCCTGGGCACCCTGGCCCTCCCTTTGGAGTAGCACCACCTTCCCTACCCGGCGAGGGGCTCAGCCTCGCAGGGACCCCCTGCCCCAGGGGAACCCCTGTGCCCCTGCCCTGCTGAGCCCGGCTCAGGGCAGCTCAAAAGGCAGCCTGGGGGCTCAGCCCACCTCCCAGGCAGCTAATGGGATCAGCAGGGCTGGGAATTAGTCCCAGCAGCTGCTCCCGGGCTCCCGGAGCCGTGCCAGACTCACCTTGGGCGCCCACCAGGTGATGCCCATGTGCAGGGCGTAGTCACAGCACACCTTGGGGTCGGCCAGGCTGCGGCACTTCTCGTAGGCATCCAGCAGCGACGTCTCCTTGTCGGGCAGGACGTGGCCGATGATCATTGTCGTGCCCCCCACCAGCGCTGCCTGCGGGGCACAGGGACCGCGGTGGGGGGGCAGGATTCACCCCCCCCCGCTGCCGGCACCGATCCTGCCTGGCTGTGAGCCAGGGGAGCCCTCAGATGCCAGGCCGGGGTGGCCACATTTGGGAACGGCATTGCCCACAGGCAGGGAACACATTTGGGTGGCCACATTCGGGAACGGCATTGCCCAGAGGCAGGGGGGGGCCCTGGGTGCAGGCAGGGACCCCCCACATGTCCTTGGCCCTGCCCACAGCTGCCCATTTGCAGCAGCACATCTGGGCACGCAGCACATCTGGAGAGCCCCACCCTGTCACCGCTGGGGCACCCACTGTCCCAGCTGCACAACCCGCTGGATTTGGGGGGCCCAGCAGCCCCTGGCACAGAGCCCTGTGTGGGGTGGGGCCGCAGGGAGCCCCCCCTCTGCAGCGTGGGCGGCAGGGCAGGCGCTGTGGCACCGCCGGTGTCCCCGGCTCACCCAGCCCCGCTAATCCCCAAAGCTCCTTTGCCCATCGCCCTCACGGGAGGTGCCGGCGCGGTGCCACGAGGCGGGTGATGGCGATGGGAAGCAGGCCTGGCATGGGGTGCCTGTGGGCACTGCACTGTCCCCTGTCCCCCAGGGACTCCATCACTGAGCCCCCTGCCCAGGGACACCGGACACCCCGGGGACAGGCACGGCCAGCGCTGGCCTGGCACAATGGCTGCTCTGTGCAGGCACTGGGGACAGCGGGACAAGCTGCAGGGACAATCCTGTGCTGGCCCCTCGACACCCCCAGGCAGCGGCACCCGGTACGTGGTGCCACCAACACAGGGAGGGCAGAGGGTCCCCGAGCTGGCACAGGGTGCCACGGCCCCAGAGTGGGAGGAGAGCGCTCGCAGGAAGGGGACATGATGGATGGGGACATGGGGACAGGCGGTGCCACACCACAGCGCTGCTCTGGAGCTGATGCTGCCGGGGATGCCCGCGCTGCTGGGGCAGAGAGCTGCACCCCACCACACCACCAGTGCCCCGGGGAGCCCCCCCAGAGCGGGGGGCAGACCACCACAGCAGGGGCTCAGGGTGAGGGGTACCTTGGTGCCGTGGTAGAAGTCATCGACACAGGTGGCGTTCATGAAGGTCTGGTGGAAGTGGGTGCTGGTGTCGATGCCGCCCGGGATGACGAGCTTGCCGGTGGCGTCGATGACCTTGGCTCCGCCGGGGATCATCAGCTCGCGCCCCACTTGCTGGATGATGCCGTTCTCGATGTAGACGTCGGCCTCGAGCGTGCAGTCGTCGTTCACCACCTTCCCCCCCTTGATGAGGATCCGCATGGTGGCCGCGTTGGCCATCATGGTGCTGTGGGGCAGGGGCGGTGCCGGGGTGACCACCGGGAGCTCCCCGTGGCTGGGGGGGGGTCACCCCATTGCCCACCCTTGCCAGAGATGCCCCGGTGCAGGGCTCAGGCTGCACATCCTCCATGGGCCGTGTCAATGGATTATCCCGGGAAATCTGCAGAGAGGAGGGGCCCTGGCACCGAGCCGGGGGCTGCCACCCCACTGAGCCCCCTGCTCCAGTGACACCAGTCTGCACCCTGGCCAGTGCTACCCCTCCCGTGGTCTCTGCACCCAGAGCAGGGCTGCTGGACCCCATCCCTGCCCGTCCCCCATTGCCCCCCCAATTCCCCCCAGCTGCTGGTGCCACGCGTGCTGAGGGGACACTGCTTGGTGTCCCCATGAGGTGACAGCACTCATGCCTGGGGCAGGCTGCTTGCCTTGTCTCTGTGGGTGACTGGGACTGGCACAGAGAGCACTAGGACTGGCACCACCCGAGGGGGTCTCTGCCCACAGTGCCAGATCTGCCGGAGACCCCCGCGCTGCCCCAGCACTGCCTGAGCCCCCGGCAGTGAGGGGCGTCCCCAGACACGATCGATAAGTCATTTGGTGAAGGTCAAACACCATCGACCTGTTGGAGCGGGGACAGCACGTGCCAGCTGTGCCCACTCGGGGGGCATGAGGTGGGTTGGGACCCCACCAGAACCCCCAACCCAGAGACCCCACTGCAGGAACCCCCAGGGACCCCTCCACCAGACAAAGGCCAGGGAACCCACGTGTGCAGTGTGGCACAGCCCGGTGTTGCTGGCACAAGGCTGGCACCAAGCAGCCCTGTGGGAACGACCCCTGATGCCCACCCAACCTCTGTGTCCCCAGACCCCTGGACGGGCACACCAGAGCCAGCACTGAGCCACGGGGCAGAGGGTGCTGCTGGTGGGGGCACAGACCTTGTGGCGATCGGTGCCCCCACGGCCCCACTGCTGCTCCAGTGGGTGCTGGGACCCAGGCACAGCTCTAAAGGGACAGTCCTGAGCTGTGCTGGCCCTTCCCAGTGCCCATCCCAACAGCTGCAGGGCAGCAAACGGCTTCCCAGGCCCCGGAGCTGGTGGGAGCCGTGGTGTCGTGGGGCTGGGTCAGGCTTTGCCAGCAGCTGGGCATTGCCGGAGCCACGGGCCAGAGCAGCTGCGGGGGGCGAGTGGCTGTGCCCACCAGGGACCACCACCATGCTGGGGGGCACCAGGAGCCCCTCCTGGGCCAGCTCCTGCCCTGGGGCTGTGCGGTGGCAGTGCCAGCCCTGCCGTGGGTGAGCCCGGTGCCAGCCAGCGCCTCATCCCGCTGCCCTTGCTCCAGAACAGGGAAGCAGGAGCAGCTGCCGGGGTCCTGCAGGCAGCCCCCCTCGGGAATGTCACTGGCATGCACAGCTGTGTCACTGCTGAGGGACCCTCCCTCAGGACCGAGGCGGGGTGGCAGTGACCTCGTGCAGCATGCCAGGTCACTGTGGCACGCTGGGCACTTGTCACCCCAGCCCAGTTGGTCCCACGCCCACATCTGCCCCCAGCTCTGCCTCAAGTACCGAGGCAAGCCACTGCCCCACGTGAGGGCTGTGCTGGGGGGCACCCAGACCCACGGCACCACTGCCAGGGATGAGGGGAATGAGGGGGATGATGGGCACAAGGAGGATGAGGGGTTCGGTCCCAGCCAGGGACCCTCCGAGTCCCCTCGTCAGCCAGGGTGGGCCAAGACACCAGGGCTGAGACCCACCTCGGTGGGGTGGGACCAGAGGGGATGAGCTGGTGCCCAGAGTGCCACCACAGTGCCCACAGCCCCCATGACCCCCGGGGACACCAGGGCAGGGCTGGGCCAGGCAGGAGGATACAGGAGGGTGGTGCGGGGGGAGATGGTGCAGCACAGAGGGGGCGCGGGGGGAGGTGTCACGTCGCACCCCGAGATGAAAGCGGGTTGTGGTGACGGACGGATCTGGAGCACGGAGCGTGCGGGGAGCAGCCAGTGCTGCCGCAGCACCCACCGCCCTGAGACCCCCGGCACAGGGGGATGGGGCACAGGGGGGCTGCCGGCGGTGGGGGAAGGGGTGAGCATGGCAGAGCATGGCAGAGCGTGGCACAGAGGGGGCAGGGCTGATGGGGGACAGGGCATTGCTGGGGGCACAGGCGTGGGCTGGCCACCGTGCACAGACAAGGGCTGGCAGCTCCACACGCTGCCTGTAGCCTTGGCCACCGTGGAGCCACCCACGCCACTGCCACTGCTGTCCCCACACTGCCCTCATTCCACTGTGCCAGGCCCCTTTCCCACCCCCTCCTCAGGGACCCTTGATCACCCCCTGGGCCGCCGCAGGAGAGTCCTGCTGTCCCTGTGCAACCACTCCCCAGTCCCTGTACCCAGCCCCAACTGCCCACAGAGGCCTCTCTGGCACAGCAGCGTCCCCAGCTCACACCAGTGCCCCCATCACACCCAGTGCCCCTCAGCTCACCCCCAGTGCTCACACCGGTGCCCCCAGCTCACACCAAGCATTCCCGGAGGCTCTGCCCCTCCGTGCCCCAGCCCGTGCCGCAGTGTCAGCGTGGCACCAGCCCTGGTGACACCGGGGCCATCGCCCGCGCCCCGGCCAGCCGCTGCAGCGTGGCGGCACAGCCAGCATCAGCCGGCGGTGGCCGAGCTGGCGCGGTGGCCGGAGGTTTCCTGCCAGACAACAAACAGGCTCCCGCGCTGGGCAGAAACGCAGCGTCAGCGCCGGGGGGGCCACCACCATCCCGGGGACCCCCGCCCACCCCGCGCCGCAGCCCCCCGGCTCGGCCACCTCGGCAGGCGGTGGCCGCGGCGCCGCTCCCGGCACACAAAGCGGCGCGGCCGTTCGGGGGGCTCGCAGCCCCCCCAGCCCCGCCGGCTGCCGCGGGGACAGCTGTGACCCCGGCAGGACAAAGGGACCCCGGCCCGGCGGGGGCTGCCGGGGGCACCTGTTGGGGCCGGGGCGGCTGCCGGGCCCGGCCTTTGTGCCGGGGCTGCCGCATTGTGCGGCGTGGCGGGGCCGGGGGGCCCTCACCGCCCCCCGCTTTTGTCTGCGCCGCCGAGACCCCGGCACCCGCCCTGCCCGCGCCCACCCTGCCCGTGGGTGCCCCGACGGGACCCCGCTTTGTCAGGGCTGGGCTCGGCGACCGTCCCTCCGGTGACACCGACCCGCGACTACCGGCCGGAGGCGGTGGTGGGGTGGGCATCGCCCCCCGCCCGGGAAATGTCCCGCGGGGGGTTCGCCACGGCCCCCCAGCCCTGCCCCTGCCCAGGACGGTGCCGGGGTCCCACCGACCGCCCCCCCGGCCAGGACGAGCTGCGGTGCCGCCGAGCCACCGCCCCGGGAGGGAGCGGGAGAGCCGCGGAGGCCGCGATGGGCGGGCGGAGGGCCAGGGATGCTCCACCAGAGGCAGAGCGCGGGATGCTGCCGGCGGGAGGCCGGTCCTCGTCTCCGCGGGCACCTTGGCACGGCCCGGCCGGGCACGGGAGCGGCGCGGCCACGCCCGAACGAGCGAGGGGCGCTGCGGCGGGTCTCGGTGCGGGCTCCGGGCACCGCAGAGGGTCCCAGCCCCGCTCCCCGGTCCCCGTTCCTCCCCGGCGCTGCCCCCCGGGTCACTGCGGCAGGAGGCCGGGGCAGCGGGCACCGAGTCGGAGGTGCTGCCAGCCGGGGGAACCTGGCAGGGGGTCCCCGGCGGAGAGCGGGGCCGTCCCGCGGTGCGGGGCGCCGGGCTGGGCGCAGCCCCGGTGCGGGCCGGGCCCGGGCGAGGCGCGGGGCGGTGCCGCTGCGGCGGGTCCCGGGGGGCGCGGGGGGTCCCAGTGCGAGGTCCGGGGGGCGCGGGGGGTCTCGGCCCCGCCGGCCCGCGGCGGCCCCGCAGACAAAGCCCGGGGCCGCCCAGCACAAAGGATGCTCCGAGCCGGGGCGGGGCCGCCCGGGAGCCCCGGCGGAACAATGGGCCGGGCCCGGCGGGACCCCCGCCACCCCCCGCCCGCCGCGCCCCCGCCGCCCCGGGGTCCCCGCTCCGCCGCGCCCCGCGCACCTGCTGCTCCGCTCCCGGTCGCGACACGGCGCCGACGAGGGAGCCTTGCCCGCTCGGGGCGGAGCAGCCGTCCCCGGCGCCACACCCCACCGAGGCGAGCCCCTCGCGCTGTCGCGACACCATCGCCCTGTCGCGACAGGTGACTCGCCATCGGCGGGCGGCGGCCACACACAACCTTTCAGCCCCGCGATACCCCGGCCAGGCGCCCCGGGCGGGGGTGCCGCGATACTCCCCTCCGTCCTCGCCTGCAGCAACACACGCGCATGTCGAGATACACGCACCTGTCGCGATCGTCCCGCCCGCCGCGGTAACGAGTCAGGTCCCGCCGGTGCGGGAAGACCCGCACCCATCCCGGCCCGACCCCCGGCCCCGCCCGGCCCCGCCCGGCCCCGCCCGGCCCCGCGGTACCTCCCGCCGCCGGTGCCGCTCCCGGTGCCGCTCCGGCCGCGATCGCCTCTCACCCCAACCTGCGCCGCGGGGGCGGGGCCTCGCCCCCTTCGGCCAATCGCGGCTCGCTCTGGCCGGCGGGGGCGGGGCCGGGCCCCCAGCAGGGTGGGCTGCGCGCGGCATGACTGACAGGCGGAGGGGGCGTGGCCAGGGCCCGCGGCCCCGCCCCTCGATCCCTGCACGCGCCGTTGCCGTGGTGACGGAGCGCGCGGGGCGACCCCGGTGACCCCCCCCGGGAACCCCCCCAGGAGCCCCCCGAGACCCCACACGGCTCCTGCCCACAGCCCATCGCCCCCGGAGCAACTTCCCCCAGGGCATCGCCCCAGAGCCCCCCATGGCACCCGGTGGCCCCCCCATAGTCCACTCAACAGCCCCCCATAGTAGCCCATGGCAACCCCCACCACAGATCCCTCCCATGGCACCTAACGGTCCCCCATGGCCCCCCCCCGACAACCTCAGAGCATCACATCGCTTCCCATGGCCCCCCCCCCGACATCCCCATGTGCCCCTCCCAGCACAGCCCAGTAACACCCAGCAGTGCCCAGTAACATCCAGCAGCACCCAGTAACACCCAGGGGTTCCCAGTGCAGCCCTCACAGCCCAGTTGTACCCAACACAGTCCAGTAACACCCAGTAGTGCCCAGCAGACCGGGCAGACCCCTCAGCACTCAGCACAGCCCAGCTACAACCAGTGATGACCAGTAACACCCAGGATTTCCCACTAACACCCAGCAGTGCCCAGCACAGCCCATCTCGGCAGCCTCAGGCTCCCCATGCTGGGGACGGGACACAGGACACGCTGGTGCTGTTCCCACCCTGTCCCCTGTGAGCAGCCCCAGGGACTGGTGGCACCGGGCACGTGGTGTGCTGGATGTGGCCCTTGGCACCCGTGGGGTCGGAGCTGGTGCAGCGCTGGGGACACGAGGCTGAGGGACCTGCTGCCCCATCCCAATCCCCAGTTCCTGTCCCATCCCACCCCTGCTGTGCCACCCTGTCCTCGGGCACTGCCCAGCTCTACCAGGTCCTGTCCCCTGAGCACTTTGGTGGCTCCTGGGCTGTGCTGTCTCCCCTGAATCAGAGGGCACTGGGCACACACGTTCAGCTCTTGTCTGCCAGGAACCCTGGACCCTTCCCACAGAGTTGCCCCAGCCTGTGTCACTGCCAGGGGCTCTTCTACCTTGGGGCAGGAAGTAAAATTTGTCCTTGTCAGGTCCCTGCTGGTTCCTTCTCCAGCCGGGCTCCATCCCAGAGCAGCAGCACCCACAGGCACAGGGACTGGTCCTTGAATGTTTGGTCATCATAGAGTCACAGATTTGGATGGGAAGAGACCTCAGAGCTCATCCCATTTCTCCCCATCATGGGCAGGGACACCTTCCACCAGCCCAGGTTGCTCCAAGCCCCGTCCAACCTGGCCTGGGACACTTCCAGGGATCCAGGGGCAGCCACAGCTTCTCTGGGCAACCTGGGCCAGGGCCTCCCCACCCTCACAGCCAGGAATCTCTTCCCCATACCCCAACTAACCCTGCCCTCTGGCAGTGGGAAGCCATTCCCCCTTGTCCCCAGTCCCTCTCCAGCTCTCCTGGAGCCCCTTTAGGCTCTGGAAGGGGCTCCAAGGTCTCCCTGGATCCTTCTCTTCTCCAGCTGAGCACCCCCAGCTCTCCCAGCCTGGCTCCAGAGCAGAGGGGCTCCAGCCCTGGCAGCATCTCTGGGGCCTCCTCAGGACTCTCTCCAGCAGCTCCACATCCTTGTGCTGTTGGGAACCTCAACAATTAATCATCTCAATGATTAGAGATGCCTGTGCCCAAATTCAGGTGCAAACAAGACCATGTGCTGAAATCAATAGTATGAATTTTATTTAACAATAAATATGAAGTAGAGAGATAGAAAGAAATAGAAAAGGGGGGAGAGAGAGAGAGGGAGAGAGAGTCCCACCCATAGATCCAGCCATGTCCCCTTGGTTCTTCTTCACCCTGGGCTTCTCGGTGGTGGGATGGAGGCCCCAGTTCACAGCTCTGTGCAGAAGGAGGGTCTGGCTCGAAAATCCACAAAGCCCACCCTCGACTTTCTAATCTCACTGTTTATGCACTGTTTGTTAGCAAACAAAGGAATTAGTGTTCATTGGCTACAACTTACATAGTTCTCTTATTAATTAGTATTCTATCTTTTATTGGTTAAATGATTCTCTCTCTTTTCATGCTAATTACTCTGAATGCTCAGTCTCTCTCTTTGGGTTGGTGGGTTTCTTGGGTTGGTGGTCCATGAGTTGCTGGTCATGATCTGCCCCTGCTGGATTTACCTTTTACTCAGCTGGAGTTGATTTCTGCACAATTGCTGAGCTGGTTTTAGTGGTTTCTTCCTTATCTTGGGGGTTCTGCCAAATGTCCTTGTGGCCATAAATTCTGTGTTCTTTGTATCCACTCTCAGCGACACATCCTTCTTCCCAAGCTTTGTTAACCTCCTTCTAGACCTGAGATCACTGAATTCATCTTCCTAGCGCCCGGACCACAGAACTGTGCTCTTTAACTCCCAACAGACCCCCGGGCTGGAGGCAGCTCTGCAGTGGGGTCTCAGCTGAGGGGGCAGAGGGGCAGATCCCCCCTCCCCTGCTGCCCACCATCCCTGTGGGATCAGCCCAGGGCATGGGGGGTTTTTGGGACGGGTCAGATCGAGCCTCTCACTCACTGGCACCCCGAGTCCTTCTCCTCAGGGCTGCTCTCCATCCGCTCATCCCCAGCCCAGACTGATCCCAGGGGTTGCCCCTCCCTGGTGCAGCACCAGCACTTGGCCTTGTCCTTTGACAGCCCTGTGGCACCTGCCCACACCACCCCCCGCAGGTCCCCAAGCCACTGTCACACCCGTCACACCCACCACTGCCCACCCCCTGTCCCCCCACCAACCCCAGGGGGTTGTCATGGTCGTGCTCCAGCCCCCACCACCTTTGGGGCTGGCACAGGGACGGGGGGTCCCCGGGAGTCCCACCATTCCCCTGGCACAGGGACGGGGGGTCCCCAGGAGTCCCACCATTCCCCTGGCACAGGGACGGGGGGTCCCCGGGAGTCCCACCATTCCTCTGGCACAGGGATGGGGGGTCCCCAGGAGTCCCACCATTCCTCTGGCACAGGGACTGGGGTTCCCCAGGTCTCCCACCATTCCCCTGGCACAGGGACGGGGGGTCCCCAGGACTCCCACCATTCCCCCGGTGCTGCCCGGCTGGAGGGGAAGCTGAGGCAGGAGCTGTGTGGGGCAGTTTCCTGACCCACAGCTCAGGGGGCAGAAATGGGGAGTCCCACTGGGCTGGGGCCTCTGCACCCCCACACCCCGGCCCAGGGCTGCACGAGCAAAGCCCCCAGTGCCCCGGGGAGCTGGGCTCAGCCCACAGCCCTCACACCCAGGATTGGGACTCCACTGCCCCAAGACCCCATCAGGACCTCGTCAGGACCTCGTCATCTCTGGGCTGGAATCCCACTGTTCACCCACACTCCACCGTCCCCTGGACCCCACCACCTGCTGAGACCTAAGTGCCCACTGGGACCCCACCATCTGCCAGGACCCCATCCACTGCCCACCAGGACCCCAGTTCCCACTGGAACTGCGCCATTGCCTGGATCCCACCACCCACTGGGACCCCACTGCCCTCCAGGACCCCACAGTCACCTGGACCCCACCACCTGCCAGGGCCCCACCACCATCTGGATCCCACCACTGGTGTGGGGATCCTCCCACCCGCTGGGACCCCTTTGTCCTCTGGGACCCCACCATGAGCACTGGGACCCCACTATTTGTGCTGGGATCCTACCACTCATTAGGACCACAGTCACCAGGATCCAAGCACCAGTCCTGGAACCCCACCACTGCCTGAACCCCACCCCCCTTGGGAGCCCACCACCTGTACTAGTAGCCCCCTGCCCACTGGGACCACTCCTGGGATCCTACCACCCCTTGGGACCCATCATCTGCTGGGATCACACCATCACCTGGACTTCACCATCTGCACTAGGATCCCACTGCTCTCCAGGGTCATGGCAATAGTGCTGGGATCCCACCACCATCGGGATCCCACCATCACTGGGACCCCACTGCCCACCAGGACCCCAAAGCCACCAGAACCCCAGCACCTGCCAGGGCCCCACCATCATCTGGATCCCACCAGCACTGCTGGGATCCCCCCACCCCAGGGTCCCCCCACCCTGCCACTCACAGACCACACGACCACACAAAAGGTTTTTTTTTTTTTCCTCTTTTTTTTTTCCTCTTTTTTTCCTCTTTTTTTTTTTGCACAAAACAGGACATTTATTCAAGTGTTCTCCAGCACAAGTACATTAGAAAGGAGCTTGTCTGTATTATACTCTTCTGGGCACCAAAGAAAAAGAAAAGGAGGATGGGATGGAAGCGGGACGGACAGACTTTCTACATCTGCTGCACGCATTGACCTTTATTAGTTCAGAACAGCTATGTCACGAGCAATACTCACACAGATACAACAGCGCCGGGCGCCCGCGGCACCTCCGGCCGTGAAATGCACAGTTCAGCGGCAATAAATAGAGAAGCGACCCTAAAAAAACAAACCAACAAAAAAACAGGGGCAACGAACCGAGAGAGAAGTAGAAAATAAACCGGGGGGGGGGTGTTTGGGGCTGGGGGGGGCGGGAGAAGGGGAGGGAGAGCAGCCGGGGCGGCCGCGGCGGCGCCGGGAATGTGGCGGCGGAGCCAAATCAAAGGGAGGAAGGAGGGTACCAGCTCTACGCGCGTATTCCTTGGGATGATGAGTACATGATTCCCACAAATAGTTAAGCGTCAGCTACTTCAATGTCTAGGCTAAAACACATGAAATCTCTCGTTTAGTTTTCAAGTACAAAGTTAAAATGCCTTTTTCTTTTTTGTTTTTTTTTTTTAATAATAATATATAAGAGTAAAATAATAGTGCTCTTTGAAACTCCACTACGAGAAACAAAACAGTCATTGTCCAGACAGCAGACTTAATTTAACAATATATATTTTTAATAAAATGTTTTAGCACCGTGTTTGTCCCCACTCCCTCGGCGGATCTTAAGGAATTTAGGCCTTTCTGTGTTGTTTTGAGTTTTCGTCTAGGGCTGTGCAACAGAATTTGTCTGGTTGTTTTTAAAAAAAGACGTGAGTCGGGTACATTAAAAACTGAACGCCTTTTGCCCCAGGCATCCCCACGGTCCCCACCGGGTCCCCACCGCCGCTGGCACCCGTTCCCAG